GGGGGGCAGTTTTCTCCTCCCCCATAGCTATAGTGCCCCATTATCATTGAGGCACATGTAAATCTGACCTAAGGGGAACACGATTAAGCCTGATTGGACTCTACTGATTTAACATTTATTTGTGGGTTGTATTTTTAATCTGCCTTTTCAGTCATGCCTTCATAGGGCAATTTGCAAAAAAACTAAAAAAAACCCAAAATGTTATGCATTGTATGTATTAATGTATGTAATCTAATGATTCTGTCTTCCAAAAGTCTTTTACCCTTTGGATACTGCTGGAGGTAGTAAGCTGCTACTGGTTTTAACATTTTCACTTTCAACAAATGCTGCAAGGAGCCAAGGACTGAGAGTCTACATTACACAGGCAGAACATAAGGCTCTACTTGGGCAGTCCTGCTGAGTAGCTACTTGTTCCCTCTCACAGCCATTTAGTTCCCAGCAGGCATCTGGAGGGCAAAAGGAGATGCTAAAGTTCCAGAAGGATGGCCGTTGTTCTTTCCTCCCAGCTGCATCATTGCCCCCGCCTCCCTTACCCACCCTTTCCTGCCCACTGGATGGCCATGGGGGCATGCATCAGTCTGATAAAGCTGCCTTGCACAGAGAAACATCATCCAAGGAAGTACTAAGTGTTTTCTTCATATCATCAAGAGATTCTGGCCACAGTGTGTGACCTAATGTGCTAGCCCATGGCCTGGCTTTACCAGTGAATCCTTGCTTCTGTCCTCTTAAGACTAGACTGCAGAAGAAGATGGTGACCCAAGTGTTTGGCCCTCCAGCTGTTGTACACCAGAAAATACCAGAAAAACCAGGTTCTTTCTTGGAGCATCTAACCCGAGTAAGAATTCTGTAGGTCTCCAAATTCCCCCACACATTGCCAGTGGACTCAAAAAAGGGCATTGGCTGGAATGCCACTGGTTAATTATCAATTGTTGCATAGTAGTCAATACATAGGTAAATCCTATTGATTCAATGGTCTACTCTTGTTGGGACTGACACTAGGATTCAAGCCAATATGCTCAATTTGTTTTTTAAAAAAGAAAACGACAAAGCACAAGATCCTTTATTCTCATTTTCTTCTCACTTGCTACTGAACAAATCAAATAAAACAAAACAGACAGTGAGAATTTAGTATTAGGGAAGCAATTTAATCTTACTGGATTATATGTGTACGAAAGCTAGGGCTATGTAATATGTAGCCTTCTATATGTTATCAAACTCAGGTTCACATCAAACCTAGCCAAGTTTGATGGAAGCAATAGGTCATTAACATTTGGAGGGCCAAACATTCTCCCCCTAAGTTTGCATATATAGGCCAACTGTTTATGATATTCTAATTGACTGTGGAGTAGGGGTGGTGAGTGTATGGCCCTCCTGGTGTTGTACTACACCTCCCATCATCCCAAGGGAGGGATGTTGTTAGTTGCACTCTTTCATCTTAGGGCCCCCCTTTCCCAACTTCTATTACAGAGTGGTCTTTTAGTTGACAATGCTAGGAGTCAAGCTGACAGACGCCATCTCTTCTATCCCACTTTTTTCCAAGCAGTATAAAGTCCAACTGTAAGAGCCACTTCAAATGTATCTAGATTCCTGCATGGCCTCAAGAAGGCAGTAGGGCTTCCATACAGTCAGCTTTTTAGAGTTAGTTCAGGCAAAATGTCTGGCAATGGGTCATTTAATTCCTACTAAATGCTCAATAATCCTTTAAAGAATAAACAAAACAAGGGCTAAGGAATAAGATAAATCATTCTTTAATGGCTTCAGTATAGTGTGCTAGTCAGTTACAATTAATCAAGTCCCTGAATTAATTCAAATTAGAAGGTAAAAAACTGTATAAAGTTCCACCAGGCATAGGTATCTCTTGCACCCTTCCTGCATACTCAACCTGCTTGGTTTTTTTGACTGGGCACTCCTCTCCATAGCCGTTCAGTGGCCAAGGAAGGCTATGGGAAGAATGATGAGGAACAGTAGGGCAGACAGTCAGTTGCAGGAAGATGGTGTCATCCTCCTAGACCTCTGAAGGCCTGCTGGACGAGATCCGTCAGATTACGAGCCTGAGTAGTTTTAAAAAAGCGGTAAAGACGGATCTCTTTCGACAGGCCTTTCCTGATTAGATCCCGGCCTCAGGAGCTGCACCTCTCGTCCTCTTTGAGTTCTTGGCTTGTTGTTTTTTGCAGCACCTGAGTGCCTAGTGTGCTCATTGAAACATAAGAGCAGCCCTCTAATGGATATGGACATTGCTGCTATAAGAGCCATCCAAAAACTGGTTCTGGAGAATTTCTCAGCCCATCAAAGCAGATTTTTGTTGCACTGGGGAGAAGGATACTGTGGGAGACTTTACCCCCCCCCCCACCACCACCACTGGCTGGCTTCTGCTGTTCTGCCGGTGGATGTCCAGCACTGGACACAGCCCAGTATGTCCAGAAAGGAAAAAAGGGAAAGATGAAACAAGTGGTATGACATTCTCTTACCTTTTCCACCCCAACTCCAAATGGTTTACCATAACTTTCTCTGGAGTTGATACAACATATTTGGTAATGGTGGCTCTTTATAACAGTAAAAAGTCAATCCAGTTATTGGACTGGCATTAAACTATTTCAGAGCAATACTCAGCTCACTACACCAGAACCATGCCACATATCAGAGTTTGATGCCCTGAACATTCTTGCTGCATCCTAGCTGCTATGAAGCCGCTGAAACAATATGAGAATATGTTTTTGCCGAATGGATTCTGTGTGTATGTTTAATTAATAGATTTCCTCCCAGACCCATTTTCTGGTTCATGTGAAGACTGAGCAGCAATGAACAAACCTTTAAAATTAACTAGAGTGGGTTCCTCCCCCCCTCCTCCCCATTTGTTGTTGTGTGCCTACAAGTCATTTCCCACTTTTGGTGACCCTAAGGGGGTTTTCTTAGCAACTTTTTTCTAGAGAGGGTTTGCCATTGCCATCCCCTGAGGCTGAGAGAGTGTGACTTGCCTAAGGTCACGTAGTGGGTTTACTCTTTTTCTCTTTTCAATCTGTGAGCTAATAATTTCCCGGTTTGTTACCAAATTCAAATTCTTTTTGTCTTATCATTTGCATTTTTCTTTGTAGTTCTTTAATTGCTATTGATTTTATACGTTGTTGTAAAATTTGTACTTCTATTTTTGTTCTTTTATCTCCTGTCCGTTTCCATTCTTTTTCTTTTTGCTTAAGTTGTTCTTGTAATTCTAAATTTTCTTTATTCTCTTTTTTCTTTTGTTCCGCTTGTATTTTAATTATCGTTCCTCTAATTACTACTTTATTTGCTTCCCATAAATTTATA